GTATGAGTTTATTAAATCGTGAAACTTAAAAAACAAATCATTTTGTATTCAGAGTCAGTCAAGGAGCCTGACGTGAGAACTGACACTGTGGGAAGAGACCCCAGCCGAGAATCCACCCCTCCCTTTGCCTGGGACATCAGCCCTCCATATGAGACCAAAGAGAGATGCAACACATCTGCAGGAAGTCACAACAGCAGACTCTGTGTCCTATTTTGACGGAGGACCCCTGAACCTCTCACAGCTAACTGTTTACTTTTAGAGGTGGGTGACATCAACACAGCTGCAACCCCCCCTGACACCATGTTACACTGTCAGTGATCAAGCCCCTCCACACTGCAGCTAAGTAGCTTAGTGTAAATGAGAAACAGAGCCATTTACAAAGTGCTTTTCCAGTCTTAAAGCTGTTTGCATTCACACAGAGACAGAGGCTGCAAGGTGCACCTGCCCAGGGAGACACACGCACGCACGCACGCACGCACGCATGCACGCACGCACACACACACACACACACACACACACAACACACACAACACACACACACACACACACACACAAACACACACACACACACACACACACACACACACACACACACACACACACACACACACACACACACACACACACACACACTGTTGATCATCAGGAGCAACTTAACTTATTTAGAACACATCTTCATGTTGACTTCAGGAGCTGGGATCAAGCTTGTTACCCACAATTATCTTCAGTTATGGATTCCAACCGAGCTAAGTTTGATAATCAATAATAAACAAATATGATACATCCATCTAAAACGTACCTCATGAAACAGTTGAAAGCACCAAAATGTAAGCAACAAGTTGTGAAAAGGATTTGTGTCAGGGACCGAGCAGTGAGGCAACAAGAACACTGATGCTTAAAGAAAGGGAGTCTTTATTTACACAAAACCTTTTAAAACAGAAGGTCAACATAAATCTACCTCAGCCTTCTTCTGGGGGAGACGGTGATTTGAAATTAGGCCACATGACAGGGAAGATTTTTCAATACAAATACGAATATTAAATAAGACACGTGTTGCCGCCAGCATCACTGTGCGAGGAGCTGCACTGACACCTGCTGGACACGCACTGGCACTGCAATATGAAAACATGAAATGAAAAAAAATATTCATATTAAATAAAGGAAGTATCCAAAATCCAATATAAAGAGGTGTGTCTGCTGTGTTCAGGCTAGCATTAATTCTTTAATTTGAGTTGAAGTTATTAGGTCACATGACAGAGAAGCTATTGAAAAAATAACATAACTTACATACAAATAACATAACTTACATAAAAATAACAATGATTTTCAGTACAAATATTAATATTAAATAAAGGAAAATCCAATATACAGAGGTGTGTCTGCCGTGTACAGACTAGCATTCATTTCTGAGAGTGATTTGAAGTTATTAGGTCACATGACAGAGAAGCTATTGAATGAGTATTAATAGTTAATAAAGGAAGTACCAGAATCCAATATACAGAGGTGTGTCTGCTGTGTACAGACTGCATGAAGCTCAACACAGCTGCTGACAGAGGGCAGAGAACACTGCTTTATTATATATCCTGTTAGAAATGACTAGAAATGGCACATAAGCACATGAGTAATGGACACACACACACACACACACACACACACACACACTCACGCTCGTACCGAGACTCTCTTCACTGTAGTGGGTTGTGTAAGAAGATAATGGCTGAGCCAAAATCAGCCCACTTCAATCCATAATGACACATGCTGTGTTTGTCAGAGGTGAGAGGCGAGTAGAGCAGTTCTTATGTAAGGTTGTTGACTCAAACACACACAATATCACTCCTGCTAACACTTAAGCGCACATTTTTATATATAAATACTGTTTATATATATATATATACAGCTCTGGAAGAGATCACTGCAGCATTATCAGTTTTGCTATTTATAGGTATGTGTTTGAGTAAAATGAACGTTTTTTTTATTTTATTCTATAAACTTCTGACAACCTTTCTCTGTTTCTTATTCATCAGACACTGGAATGGAGTGCCTGCCGTACATGTAGAGAACAATTAGGAGTGGTCTCCATTGTCTTGACTCCAATCCCCCCCCCCCCCCCCCCCCCCCCGAGCCGCAGCTGCCTCAAATAAGTTGTTTCAGATTTGAGTTGAACAATTCCTCATAAAACTACTCGATGGACGCAGCACTTGTCCTGCCAGTTTAGTTTTTGTCAACAGAGCATTGATGGATGTGAAGGCATCACAATTGTTTTATTTATTGACCCCGTGGGGGGGGGGGGGGGGGGTTGTGTTACAGTTGATCTGAACAGAAAAAAACCAGTTTTAATTTCACAGTTATTTAATTGCGAACGTTCATAAGCATGGGACTATGGCTGTTTATGCACTGAAACAACATTGACTTTCATTACATGTATTATGCCAACAGATTCCACATCACTGAGTTGGGAAATATTAAGTTTAAGGTTCAACTTAATGTTATTGCTTTTAATAACCTAATGCAATTATGGGAAATCTGTTGACATAATACATTTAATTAAAGTCAACATAAAAATGTTTCAGTGTGGGGTGAAATAAGTCCAAGGAGTTGAATTATAGTTTAATAGATACTCATTTTGCTTATCTTAAATAGCCTTCTTATTTAATAATAATACCATGACTTTAATAAAGACATATCAGTGTACTGTAGTTTTTGTATGTGTTTTTGTGAACAACACACTCCTGGTGAAGTGAATGTATGTGTGTTCACGGTGCTAGTAGGCTGTAGTGCAGTCAGCGACTAAGCTCCATGTGAAGAATATTCAAAAGCAGGGACTAGTTCATATATCAGCATATTTTTAAAAGGCTCTGAGAGTTTTTGCAGTTTGCTTTTTTTGCATTTCTCACCCGCTGATAGATAAACTGACAAGCATTACACCTACCCCCCCCCCCCCCCCCCCCCCCCCCCCCCGCCAGAGCTGTCAGTCCTGTCCAGGGTTGTTCATCGCACAGCTGGTTGCCGAGGTAGGCCCTCAGTAGACTCCTCTCTTCCTCTCCTAGCTCATGTAGTCTGAGGCTTCCTCCGTTCCGCCTGATCGCACGCAGGCAGAGCTGTCTGTTCAGCGCTGACAACGCTTCAAACTCTGCTCTGCATTCGCTTCATATTTGTGTTCCTGTTAGTGGAAGACCCTTCCTCTAATCTAAACTCACAGCGGTTACTACAGGGAGGTTATGTTGCCAAGTAAAGAAACAGCAAAGAAGATTTATTCACTCTTTATTACTTAAGATATTTATTCAACATCTGGATTAACAGTAAAGATGTCTAACACAATGTTAACTGTATAGCAGTAGGCCGCCATACATTCATTGTTATCTATGTTAATGTTTGCACTTATTTACAACTTGGTAATTTCTCCATGTGTTTTAACTCAGGATAGGAAAGTGATCAAAATGATGACAAATAAATGTTCTCCTGGGGAGACCCCTTCACTTTCATTGGGCATGGCTAATTTGCCACTTGCTAATTTGATGCCTAGAAAAATGAATACATTAAACATCCAGTTTTGTATGCCTTACTTGTTTTTTGTAAACAACAGGTATAATTGTATACATATTCATAAGAAACAGTAGCACGTATAGTTGTGATGTTCACAATCAGATTATTTTGAAAGTACAGAGGTGTGAGAAGTACTCAGATTGTACATAAGTAGAAGTACCAGAGTGTAGGAATACTCTGTCACAGTAAAAGTCCTGAATTCAAAATGTTCCTCAAGCAAAAGTAGAAAAGTATTCTCATCAAAATATAGTGAAAGTAGCGACAGTAAAAGTAGTCATAGTGCAGATTGGTCCGTTTCAGAATAATATATATGATATGTTTTATAATGATTGATCATGAAAGTGTTCTCAAAGCTGGTAAAGGTGCAGCTAGTTTGAATGACTTTGTATACTGCAGGGTAGCTGGTGGATTTACTCCAGGTGGAACTAAAGTCTGATTTAACACTTGATTATATTTCACATCATTCATCCACATCTGTGAAGTAACTAAAGGGATTAAATACATGTAGTGGAGTCAAAGTACACCATGTACCTCTGAACTGTAGAGGAGTAGAAGTACACAGTAGCAACAAAATGTATACTTAAATAAAGTACAAGTATCTCAACATATACTTAAGTACAGTACTTGAGTATATGTACTTATACTTCCCACCTCTGTTACAGTAATACCAGCTTTAATACAGGGTTGAAAATATGTGTATATTTTATGATTAAAAAGATGACACTGTATGAGTTACACCCCCCACTGAATGAAAAGATGAACCCAGGTTACATTAAGATAACTTTTAGATGTTTAGAAATGTTTAATAATTTGTTTGATTATCCCCAAAGCTTTACATATTCAGAACATAATGGCCGACAAAGAATAAAACAAAAGAAGATGCCTGCATGACTTTGAGTGATTATAACAAATAACTGTTTGTTAAATAAACAATAAATACTAATGCCACTGAATCAGAATCAGGTCTATCCCCAGGTTAACACGTACTAGGGATTTTACTTGGTATATATAAAATAAAACAAAAATGTAAAACACAGATAGAAAACTATTTGAAGAAAACTATAATGACGTTAAAAAATATAACAGTATTTACATTTAATATAATTGAAATAGTAGAAATACAATTGGAATAAAATATGTGCAGTAAATAATGAAGGCATTGCATATTTTCTGTACAACTAGATCAATGGTCACTGCTCTGAGGGGAAAGCCGTATTAGTGATGACATAATAACCAGACATACCAGAACACTGAAGAAACACTGAGACTGAGGATTGGCTGAAGAAGATGACATCACAAATCTCTCTCTCTCTATCTCTCTCCTCTCTCTCTCTCTCTCTCTCTCTCTCTCTCTCGCTCTCTCTCTCTCTCTCTCTCTCTCTCTCTCTCTCTCTCATCTCTCTCTCTCTCTCTCTCTCTCTCTCTCTCTCTGGTGCGCGCACCAGAGCGGACACGTTTTTCATTTTCGGGAGCACCAACAGTTATTGAGAAGTGGAAGTGGCTGGGGTTGTTCAGAGAGATGCATGTGTTTTCTTCCCTGAGACCCACAGCAGAGAGGAGACCCTCAAAGTGGTCGATATAACAGCAGACAGACAACGGAGGAGAGTGGGGGGGCAGCATTCAGAGATAAAGGATACACACGTCAGGACAAACTTGGAGAAGAAAGTGGAGAGGACCAGGAGCATGCACCATGAGTAACGACAGCATCGGAGTGGGGGGGATGCAGCCCCTCTGGAACTACAATGGTGAGTGACAGCTCTCTGACCCATGTTTAAACAACACAGTGAATTATATGTGAGTTTAACAGCCACACTCATATTGATTTGAATGTGGCACCTCGATCACATGCACTCACTACTAGTGTGTGCACTTAAGAGCAAAATCCAATTATTTCATTCCTAATTATTTTATTATTTGCCAGTGCCTCAGAAAAAGAGTAAATTCAGAATCTGAAATTGTTTATACTGTATATATATATAACCCTTTTCTATATATTTTATGTAATTGAATAAGTATTGATAACACAGACGTTCTGCGAATACTGGTTAATACTCATTATGTTTAAAAAAACATGGTCAACATTTCCACTTTCACTGATAATAACTGAAGGTGTGTATGGATGAGTTTTTATTTGTGTGTATGGATTTTCTAAAATGTGTAGTTTATAATAACGGCACGTTGTCCAAGAATATATTTCCCTACTAATAACTGATCAATGAAACGCCCTTGCGGGTGACTGCCACATGATCACTCAGAAACACTAAGTGAATGAAGGAGATGCTATTGTTTGCTCTTCCTCGCGATGAGGAGCGCAGGAAGAGAGGAGGTGGAGATAACAAACACAGAATGAGGTTTTCAGAAATCAATAAACTCCTTCTCTCACCTTCCCTCCTCTTCCATGTTTTTCTGAAATATAAAAGGCTGGAAAGAGAAGACATAATTGGCTTGATTAATTATGCAACAAAAAAGATCCTACGTGTGAATTCAAAAAGAGCAGTAGATGGACATGTTTTCCAGATGTGTGAGCAGCTGTGATTTGATTGGCTGCTGTGTGGACTTCACATGTTGCAAGCAGTATTTCATTAAAACTCTTCATCGTGTGTGTGTGTGTTGTTGTGTGTGTGTGTGTGTGTGTGTGTGGTGTGTGTGTGTTGGGTGTGTGTGTGTGTGTGTGTGTGTGTGTGTGTGGTGTTGTGTGTGTGTGTGTGTGTTGCACGCTGCCACACACTCTGGGTAATGAGTTAATGAGTCTTTTGGTTACTAAAGGAAAAATAATTACAAGAGTCTCCGTACCATAGAATGATTGACAGCGCTGAGTTGGAGATAAAACATCGGGGGGTTGATGTGAAATCCCCCCCTCGTCTGGATATTCTCCGTTTCCTCCCCTCCATCAGCAGCTCCTCTCTCCTCCTCGCTCCCTCTCATGTCTCCTCTCTTCCTTCTGCTCTCCTAATTCCACCCTATTTACATCTCAGCTCCTACCGAGGACAGATCCCTGTGGTGTGTGTGTGTGTGTGTGCGCGCGCGCGCGCGCGTGTGTGTGTGTGTGGTGGAATTACGTGTTAGTGTAAAGATGTGTGATTATCTGTGTGTCTATATGCAAAAAAGCATACGTGTACATGTTTTGTGGTTAAACTAAGTAGCTTACTCAATATCTCGGGGTTACTTTATCATAACCTAATATTGATCTCAACAAGAATCTAGTTTCTATATTTTTTTTAAACTAGAAAAAACAGAAACCTCCTGTTGAAATAAATGATACAACTTGCTTTGATTTAGAGTAAGCGACATGTTGATTTGTGGAGATGCTAAAAGTAATAGTTCAGTGTTGTTTGTCTCGTACTTACAGCTGGTTTCTAAATGATGCTTATTACTCCTGACATCTCTGATGGAGTGCTGCTCAGATGATGGGGGGGGGGGGGGGGTGTCCCCGCTCTGCCTTCCTGTCACTCTGGATATAGAGAATAGAGTGTGTGACTGAGTTGATTTATTCTACAACATTTGCAGTCTTGCTCCACAGCCTGTAGTGCTGCCTCCACTAGAGGGCGCTGTGATGTTGGTCAACAAAGTTTGGTTTAGAGAAAAAGGAAGAAGCATCCCTGCGGTCTGTGCGATATGATCCATTTTAATTTAGGACAAATGCAATGAAATGTTTGCCAGCCATACAGACTGCATTAATAATAGTTTTTGTTTTTCTATTTGGGAGAAGCTCTCGATGCTGTTGGCTTCTGTCTTCTTCTCCTCTGCGTGATGAATCCTCTGTGGTCCCGTTTGGCTGCTTGTGGTGCCACAATTTGAATTCTTTATGGAGACATGTAATTATATGTGCTTTGAGGTTTGATAATCTGGCTCGAAAGCAGGGTCGGCGTGTCTCCCTGTTGTATTCCTTTCGTTTTCTCCCATGAACATAGCATGTAGCTCAAAAAGAACACAGTGCGGCACTTTCCAAACCACCACAGATGCGGCCCTTGATGCTCCTATTTAAAATCATTATTAAAAAAAGAGCCATGGGACCCTCTATGACGTCCTTTTACTGGAGGAAACGTGATGAAGTGCTGTGCAGGGTTGTCATTTAGAGGGGACATGTTAATGTCATCTTTTTAGATGTGGTTACAAGAAGTGAGTCCCATCACTGCACTCTGTCCAATTAATGCTAAATGCAAAGGGAATGCTGTTCCAATACGAATTCAAATACTGTTTTTATCATTGTTAATGAGAAGGCAGTTGTGTATGTAATTCAATACAAATGGTGGCTTTTGCTAGCAGTGGACCTGGTACAGACCTGTGGAAGTAAAACCGCTGTCTTATGATCTAATAATAAAAACTATATTTTACGCTTTGAATGTTTGTTTGAGTGTCCTCAAGATGCTTTAAACAGAATCAGGCGTAGTGGTTTTTAACTCTGTCTTTGTTCGTATACTGCTTTAGTGTTTAGTCTGACTCTTTTATGCATCTGCTCCTGGGGTGGTGCAACAGGTGGGGTCAGCTCTGGATACTTTTTGAATTAGTTTTATTTGAGATAATCTGGGACATCCATCAAAATCCGGATCATATAAAAAATGCATTGGTGTTGTCATACAGCAGCCTTCCCCGTCGTACTGTAGTTAGATTTATCTCTTAACTCCAGAGGTTCAGCTTCTTACTAGAGTGAGCAGGAAAGCATGGTAAGGACCCCTACAGATGAGATCTAGATCCCTGTCATCAGTCTGCAGGCTAGCAGATTCATTACCAGCAGCTTCATGTTCTAACTCTAGTTTGCGTGCGTGTGTGCCTGTGTGTGCGTGCGCATGTGTGCAAATCCTGGATTGCAGCCATTTCTCCATTTAAAAAACACAAGATTTGCTTTATTGATCCCAATTAGGGAAATGTTTTCGTCACAGCAGCATGTTAAAACAAGGCATTGCACACTATGTCAACATGAAAGAGTAAAACGTAAAATATTAACTTCAAATAGAAAACAGAACAAAAAAGTAAGATATATTTTCACAGTGAAAGATAACCATTTTTATTTGTATTTTGTGACGTTAAGAAACTACACCCTGGATTTAGTTTTTAACACTGTTGTAACAGGTAACACATTTTGAGTCTAACAGACAACAGATACAGTTTATAGTTATAATGTGCAGGCTGATGAGGGAAAGTGGATGCAGCTGAGAGCAGGAGGGTCAGAAAATCAGAGCTGACGAGGAAAGGGAGAACAGGTGTGAGGTGGGAGGGCATGAGAGGGTGAGGGGATCTGTAGACAGGTCCGGAGCGTGAGGGGACCTGGAGACAGGAGCTGCAGACAGGGCATGCAAATGAGTCATGACATTGGCCAAAGAAAGGTGTTCTACAGAGAATAATGCATGACATACATTTGATTACTTTCTCAAATAATGATTATGAAGAGAGACAGCCACGCACTTACAAGAGATCTTATAACCCCGTTAGCTGCGCTGCCATGGTTCACAGTCACCTTACACATTTGATAAAGCTTATAATAAGGGCTGGCTCAGGCTTGCCTTAAACAGTCCTATCCTCCTATATGTGTGCATTCTTGTGCTATAAAATATATCTTCACATAAAAAAAACAGTGATACTCAAATGAGTTTACATATTACCTGAAATCACTAGGATTAGGGCCACATGATGTGAACAGTTTTTTTAGATCTGAAATCAAAGTCATCAAAGAAAATGTTACGGTATCAGAGAGGACCCAAACGCAGGAGAGGCAGAGTGTTGAAAAAGGGTTTATTTAGTGAAGGAGTTGCGGGGAATATAACCCGGCTGGAGTGGCGAGGAGGTGGCGGCTGGTGACGGCAACACGGCGGTCGGAGAATGATCCTGAAGAAAACAAGTTAGACGCTATACATCCAGGTATGAGTGAATAACTATAATGCTAAGTAGCCTTGGAGTTATACCACTTTGGTTTTACACAGTGCTTGAATTGGAATGAAAAAGGTGCCAGTACTCTAAAATCAGCAACTTTTTCAAGTCAATTTTATATATACAGCCCACAAACAAGAATTTGGCTACTATAATGCTGGTGGGTTTGTCTCTTTACTACTGTATATTTTAGAAAGGTTCACTGTACTTAACATTTTTTATGATAGGCAGCGGATATGGCTAAAGCTCAGTAAGGTCAATATTAACTGAAAATATAGCAATCAAAGTCTAGATCTTCTGCTGAAGACACATGAAGCAGAGACCTTTCAGGTGAGAGCCCCTCTGGTGGTGTTCAACATTAATGACAAGGAAACAAAGCTCTGGTCAGAAGCATTTTTTATAAAAAGCTTTAACAAAATTAAGTATTTCTGTACATTTTGAATGCAATCTAACTTTCCAACTCAGAAAACGAAAAACGAAAAAGTGCCAAAAGTCTTCTCACATGGCTGAGCTGCTTTGCAATATACTTCACCACTGAAGAATACAAATATGTATAAAGTAAACTATGATGCAATCTAACTTTCCAACTCAGAAAAATGATAAAGAGCATGAACAAAGAACATGTAAAAACAAATGCAAAATGTGCACAATCTAAAATGAGAAACTGTAACTGCAAGTAACAAAGTCTGAGCCATGGTAAAGAGTTACATTGAACACCAAGCTGATCAGATAACTCCCTGGTTGGTCTGAAGTCCTTCTATCTCCAGGATCTGTACAAATCGGCACATTATGCCAAAAGTCTTCTCACTGGGTGAGCTGCTTTGCAATATACTTCACATTGTTAGAAAAGGCTCCAGAAGGCCTTGGGGACATCAGTATC